CCCCGTTCCTCCCTCCCACACCCACTGCGCATGCCTCCCACAGCTGATAACACGCCCACCCTCCCTCCCACAACTGATGATAACCTACACCCTCACCGCCCACCCACTTCCACCAATGATGACAAATATGTGTCAGTCCTAATTTGATTCATCAAGCAAATTTGGGTCTATATAGAAACCACAAACATGCGTCAATTTAAAAAAAAAGACCGAGATTAATCACGCAATGATAGTACTGTAATTACCATCTTAAATTGTCTCAAATTCGTAAAGTTCCCCTCAAGCGTTCAACTTCAGCTTGACGAGGCCTCTGCCAGCCCGCCCTTAGTACATAAACAACATATACAAGCTAAGCTTTAAGCTCTATATTCAACAACTACCAAACTTTGCTCCACCATCCGGCTCTCTGTGCTTTTATTTATTTTGTGTTGGGGAGGTGGGGGGGGGGGCAGTAAAGAAGATGGAGAGACGCAAGTATATGAATAAGCTGTTAATGAGAATAACAAAGTAAATGAAAAATATATTGCGATATATGATAGCAGGCGGGCTAGCTGTCCGCTTTCTTCTTCTCTGCTGTTTTAGAATCAGCTACTCGGAACAAAAAAATCCAAGTAGCACGGGCTATGGTGAGCCCGTTGTGGATTACCTGGCACAGGAGCGGGGCTGTAACTGTGGATGATTCTGTCCGCCTTGCTGACACGATGTATTCACAGTGTGTGTGTGTGTGTGTGTGTGTGTGTGTGTGTGTGTGTGTGTGTGTGTGTGTGTGTGTGTGTGTGTGTGTGTGTGTACTCACCTACTTGTGCTTGCAGGATCGAGCATCGACTCTTGGATCCCGCCTTTCCAGCCATCGGTTGTTTACAGCAATGACTCCTGTCCCATTTCCCATGTTTGGCAGCTAAGCTAAGCTTGCGCTCTCTCGTCAGTGTGAGGTTTGTCTCGTGTATTTCAACATGTATACGGATGTCTGTAGATTAATACTGTGTAGCATTCGCATACACACACTCCGATGGTTTATATTCTTACACGTGTTCATGACTGGGGCTTCTACCACCCACCACCCCTCCGTCCCTCCCTGCTCCCCTCCGTCTCTCCCTCATTTTAGCGGCGGAGGTGGAGGGGTAAAGAGGTCCCCTGTAGCAGGGAGGAGGCACAGAGGCCCCTGTAGCAGCATGGGAGAAAGATGAAGGAAATATACAGCTCCTCAGGGCAGAGGAGGAGTCTAATTAAGGTTGAGGCAAAATAAGGGTGTGAGGTAGAGCATATTATCGTGAGGGAAGATGAGGGAAGCTCAGGAATGGGTAAGGGGTGAGGCGGGACGCAGAAGGGAAGAGAGTAGCGACGGGGCGTAGTGAACAGCCCCCAGGTGAAGGTGGGGAGTCCACGGAAGGGGCAGGGGGGGGGGGATTACAGTTAAGGGGAAGGAAAGAGCCCAGTTAAGAAGGGGTGAGGCCAGGTAAGGGGACAGTGAGAGCCTAGGTAAAAGGAATGGAAAGCCCCCAGGTAAAGGGTGAAGTCCAGGTAAGGGAAAGGAAGGAGCCCAGTTAAGAAGGGGGCGAGGCCTGGTAAGGGGAAGGGGGAGAGCCCAGGTACAAGCAGGAGGGTTGACTAAGTAAGGGTTAGGGCCAGCCCAGGTAGGGAGTGGGAGGGCCCAGGGGGAACACCTTCCCCTGGGCCCCTCACCTTTCCCCAGGAGTGGACACGTGGACCATGCCCACACCGGCCCATTCCACCACCCACCGACCCGCCCACCCATTCCACCACCCACCGGCCCACGTTAATTATTTCGCGAGTGGCAGCAGAGTGTTGGGAGCGTGGCTTGCGTCACTCTGCGTCTGCCGGCCTGGCGCTGATGACACCAACTCTCAGCGAGCGACGTCACCGCCAGTTGACAGGTGTCACGCTACTCCCAGCCAAGATATGACATGGGATCAGTGCGGCGGCGTCTCACGGTTTGACCAAGTTGCTACGCTTCCAACCCGAGATTGACCACACCATCTTACAATAATGTGACGATGGCTGAATACCCTTCTTCCCTCTCTCTCCCCACTTGGGCTGGACGGTAGAGCGACGGTCTCGCTTCATGCAGGTCGGCGTTCCATCTCCGACCGTCCAAGTGGTTGGGCACCATTCCTTCCCTCCGTCCCATCCCAAATCCTTATCCTGACCCCTTCCCAGTGCTATATAGTCGTCGTGGCTTGGTGCTTTCTCCCGATAGTTCCCTTTCCTTCCCTCACCCCACCCCCCTCCTACCCCTCCCTTCTCTCCCTCCTGATTTTGCCAAACAGCAGTTAACATCTGAAGGGTCGTCACCCCACCCCCAGGTTGAACGAGCCAAGGGTACAGCTTTGGCTGTCAGCATACTCTCCCGTGTGCATGGGAGCCAACAGCACAGCTCAGCATCAAACAACCAAATAAAGTTTTAAATTTAGACGAAAAAAAAATTCCTGCAGTACGTGCAGCAGAGAATTTTATTTTATTTTTGTTTGTTTTACAGGAATATATATATATATATATATATATATATATATATATATATATATATATATATATATATATATATATATATATATAAAGTTGAGAGGCAATTCTCTCGTTTTACGAGAGGCGAAAACTGAGTGTGGAGCACCATTTAGACAGGTGACGAGTGTAGCAAGTGGACGGGGGGGGGGGGGGGGTCCCCGAGTTCTCCCGTCCCAGTATGGGCCGTCTTCACTCACAGCCTGACAGCCCCGTCCTCTTGCGTAGCACATAAGTGTTTTGACGCACAACTGCCCTAACGCCAAAAGCTGGTGGCGTTCTTCAACATGGCAGCGGCTCGCGAAATTGACGCGATATCCCGGTGTCTATTTTGATTGGGCCGTGGGTACTCTCTCTCTCTCTCCTCTCTCTCTCTCTGGTAGGTTTAGGTTCGCGAGCAATCCTAGTACAACCGTTCAGTGACGTTGGGAACGTTCGGGGAGGACGGGCTGCTGCGTGTGTCCAGGCGAGTCCAGGTCTCTTTCGCATTCATAATATCATTCATAAACGCTCCTGTCACCAGCAGGCAAGCCTCGTCATCACCCACCATATTCACCAAGACTGACAGCCAGAGTCACCAAGTGTCCTTTAGGCTGTAACTTACAGCCTGGCCGCCCTTGTCAACATCTCCCACCCCAAGACAACAACAACAGTAAGCTTACCTGGGGGGGGGGGGTTCATGGACACCCCCACACTTCATACTAAGTTACGTGTTCAAGTCACTAACATTAATATAATCACTCCCAACGTGCGCACAAGAACCCAATAAACCATAGATGCTTCGGCATTTAAGTTAGTGATTCGTAGACAGTTGTTAGTGAGGACATTAATGGGGACTGTGGAGACTAACATTAACCTGCGAGACGGTGGATACTAACATCAGGGGAAACAGGAATATTATTAAAGGTGAAGTTTTGAATAGCCAGGAGTGTTGCTCACAGGCCGGGGCGTCACGCGCCCACACCTGGCGGGGGCGTCACGCACCCACACCTGGCGGGGGCGTCACGCGCCCACACCTGGCGGGGGCGTCACGCGCCCACAGACTAACATTATGAATATCGTGACCATTTTGATACAATAAAAGAAGGTAACGACCCTCCATCGTAAACTGAATCACGAGCCCACAGGTCGTCAGGTCCTCCCTCTCTGTACGTGTCCACGAGCCCACGGGTCGTCAGGTCCTCCCTCCCGCCCTGTACGTGTCCACGAGCCCACGGGTCGTCAGGTCCTCCCTCCCGCCCTGTACGTGTCCACGAGCCCACGGGTCGTCAGGTCCTCCCTCCCGCCCTGTACGTGTCCACGAGCCCACAGGTCGTCAGGTCCTCCCGCCCTGTACGTGTCCACGAGCCCACAGGTCGTCAGGTCCTCCCTCCCGCCCTGTACGTGTCCACGAGTCCACAGGTCGTCAGGTCCTCCCTCCCGCCCTGTACGTGTCCACGAGCCCACAGGTCGTCAGGTCCTCCCGCCCTGTACGTGTCCACGAGCCCACAGGTCGTCAGGTCCTCCCGCCCTGTACGTGTCCACGAGCCCACAGGTCGTCAGGTCCTCCCGCCCTGTACGTGTCCACGAGCCCACAGGTCGTCAGGTCCTCCCTCCCTGTACGTGTCCACGAGCCCACAGGTCGTCAGGTCCTCCTCCCGCCCTGTACGTGTCCACGAGCTCATCACCTTTTACACGCGCCAGAAATAAACAAAATCGCTACTACTAAGGCTTTAGTGTTTATGAATGAGCAGCTGGCAACTGGCGCCTGGACCTCGCGGGCTCCCGCACGCTTCCAGTGACAGCGTGCAGGTTGGCCAAGCACAGGTGACGCACCAAGTGACAGGTGTCCTGCAGTGAAACACAGGCAACACGTCTATAGTGACAGGTGTCCTGCAGTGAAACACAGGCAACACGTCTATAGTGACAGGTGTCCTGCAGTGAAACACAGGCAACACGTCTATAGTGACAGGTGTCCTGCAGTGAAACACAGGCAACACGTCTATAGTGACAGGTGTCCTGCAGTGAAACACAGGCAACACGTCTATAGTGACAGGTGTCCTGCAGTGAAACACGGGCAACACGTCTATAGTGACAGGTGTCCTGCAGTGAAACACAGGCAACACGTCTATAGTGACAGGTGTCCTGCAGTGAAACACAGGCAACACGTCTATAGTGACAGGTGTCCTGCAGTGAAACACGGGCAACACTTCAAACAATTAATTAATTAACTTTTGCAATGAAGAACACTTTGAATACTTAATGTGACTTGACATCATGCCATGTTTAGTCTAAATAAATCATTAATATAATCATCACAGCCGTGGCGCGTGGTGAGAGAAAGGGGATGGAGAGCTTGCACGCCAGCACATCAAAGGTATAAGACTCCTACAGTTGCGTCTTTGGGATGGACAAAAGCTTTAATTTCTTCGGAGATGATATAGTCAATGGTGTTAAATGGAATCGCATTTATATATGTTCCGAGCGTTTGACCAACTTACCATTCCCACAGATGAGGCGAGGGGTGGCGCAGTCCTACTGAGCCGTAGTTAAGACGCTCCACTACGGCACTTAGGGCTAGTAAACACTCCAGCTACACTAATGACTTCATCAGTTCACCTTCGTCACGGGCAATATGTATCAGTATCTATCTCATCAATCAATGTTGCACACACACCATAGTAATGTATGAAATATTTCAGTCACTTGCATAATCTTCAGAAGCACTTGTCCCCTCGTGTTAGAGGAAGTGAAGGTGAGCACTGATACGCTAACAAGTTGAGAGTAATATCAGGTAGCGTGGGCGAGTTCGTGGGAGGGAGGGAGGGTGGGAGAGCACACCCAGCGTGGCCAGCCTGCGGGAGAGGGGTAGCGTCCACCCTCAGTGGGATGGTGTTGGCAACTGGTGGAGGCTCCCCACCACCACACACACTGCCTCTCTGCCCGCCCGCCCGCCTGCCTGCCTCCTCCTGCCCTCACTACTACCTTCCACGGGTGAAGGGGTGGATGGCTCTCTCTCTCGCTCCTCTCTCTCCCTCTCTCTCTCTCTCTCTCTCTCTCTCTCTCTCTCTCTCTCTCTCTCTCCCTCTCTCTCCCTCTCTCTCCCTCTCATTCCCTTCCTTCCTCCCTCCCTCCCCTCAACCTCCTTTTAATTTTTTTCCTTCTCATACGCACAGCCTGTAAAGATTTGTTAATATGAGTGTCTTCCTCTGATATTATAATTACATATTTAGCGAGGCTTATGTAATGCACCCAACATCCATACATACCTCCTTCCTTCCTCCCTCCCTTCCTCCCTCCCTTCCTTCCTCCCTTCAAACTATCGCACGACGCTGTAAGCTCCACCTTTGTTTTCAAACCATTTTTTGTTTTTTAATCACTCGCACCAGACTCGTCTCACAATTGAGGATTCCGTGGTTCCTTTCACCAGATGCTAACACCAGTAGTTACCTTTTCGGGACCGCAGTAAGCTCTAAGTACACAGGCTTCCTGTCCCCGACAACGGGTAATTGCATTTCGACACCATTATTAAGCCACAATATAACTATATAAATAAAATTCTGAAATAAGACTTTAATGTGCATTATTAAACAACGTCACAAAATTCACTTTTGTGACGTTATACACGACTTTGAAGGTAATCTGCTTAGCCTTCAGAATAGTGGGGGCGACCAGTTCCTTCACTCACTATGTGGCTACACTTTCTACCGCCGTCCACAAGGTGGGTATGGGTTCCCCCGTCGTCCACAAGGTGGGTATGGGTTCCCCCGTCGTCCACAAGGTGGGTATGGGTTCCCCCGTCGTCCACAAGGTGGGTATGGGTTCCCCCGTCGTCCACAAGGTGGGTATGGGTTCCCCCGTCGTCCACAAGGTGGGTATGGGTTCCCCCGTCGTCCACAAGGTGGGTATGGGTTCCCCCGTCGTCCACAAGGTGGGTATGGGTTCCCCCGTCGTCCACAAGGTGGGTATGGGTTCCCCCGTCGTCCACAAGGTGGGTATGGGTTCCCCCGTCGTCCACAAGGTGGGTATGGGTTCCCCCGCCGTCCACAAGATGGGTAAGGGGTCCACCTCTGCCCGCAGGACGGGCATATAGGGTACATAACAAACCAGTTAATCTTCCACCTCATCCACATCCTGTGATGAATCTTCAGGGGAGCCAACTCCACTTTTACTGATTCTCACATGGCTTGGGAGCTAACGGCATCCACATTCCATCCTTGCCTATCCTTGGGGTGTTCTCTCGCCTTCCTATCCACCCTTCTCCCCGTTTACCGTCCCCTGTTCCACCACATTCCTTAGTCCCCGTCCATCCCTCATCAACTCTCCTTTTGTCCTGTCCCGCCCCGTCCACGCTCTTCATCTAACCAACTCTCGTAGACAGGTGTTTCGAGCGTCTTAGTGTCATTTGCATATAATCACAGTACGAGTCGCATGTATCTCGGTAGGTTCTTCCTATGTCAGTTTGTCACTACTGGTGTACTGTCTGTGACCAGTGGTGACACACACATTAACGCCATAATGGAAGGTGATGCATTTTGTGTGTATATATGTGTGTGTGTGTGTGTGTGTGTGTGTGTGTGTGTGTGTGTGTGTGTGTGTGTGTGTGTGTGTGAGAGAGAAAGATTCATGAACGCGCAAGCCATAGATCAGTAAGAACTCTTTGACCCGGCCAGGATTCGAACCCATACCATCCAGTGGTCACGGTACTGTGTACGTTTAGGGGTGATCCTGGCCGGCATGGGTTCGAATCCTGGCCGGGTCAAAGAGTTCTTAGTGATCTATGGCTTGCGCGTTCATGCATCTTTCTCACACACACACACACACATATATATATAGGAGAAGTAGGAGAAGCGAACACACTTACGTATTCAGAGTTAAATGGCAAGTTTTTCCCTGAATGCTCTGTGTTCCCTTCTCTGAGGCTGTGGGTCCCTATAATTGCACTAGAGGTGGTACCCCCCCCTATATATATATATATATATATATATATATATATATATATATATATATATATATATATATATATATATATATATATATATATATATATATATATATATATATATTATATATATATATATATATATATATATATATATATATATATATATATATATATATATATATATATATATATATATATATATATATATATATATATATATATATATATATATATATATATATATATATATATATATATATATATATATATGATATTATATATATAATATATATATAAATATATATATATATATATATATATGTATATTTATATATATATATATATATATATATATATATTATATATATATATATATATATATATATATATATATATATATATATATATATATGTCGTACCTAGTAGCCAGAACGCCCTTCTCAGCCTACTATGCAAGGCCCGATTTGCCTAATAAGCCAAGTTTTTATGAATTAATTGTTTTCCTCTACCTAACCTACCTAACCTAACCTAACCTAACTTTTTCGGGTACCTAACCTAACCTATAAAGATAGGTTAGGTTAGGTTAGGTAGGGTTGGTTAGGTTCGATCATATATCTACGTTAATTTTAACTCCAATAAAAAAAATTGACCTCATACATAATGAAATGGGTAGCTTTATCATTTCATAAGAAAAAAATTAGAGAAAAAATATTAATTCAGGAAAACTTGGCTTATTAGGCAAATCGGGCCTTGCATAGTAGGCTGAGAAGTGCGTTCTGGCTACTAGGTACGACATATATATATATATATATATACATGCAATTGACGATCACAAAACACTGATCATTTTATGCGGAAAATCCACAGAGAAATATCTTTGAAAAAAAAGAAAAAATTTCTCAGTGGATTTTCCGCATATATATATATATATATATATATATATATATATATATATATATATATATATATATATATATATATATATATATATATATATATATATATATATATATCGTTCATAATAGCCAGAGTTACCTAAACAGGCAAATATTCGTGAAATATTATTTTTTCCAAATTTGTTTTCTTACGAAATGATAAAGTTGGCATTGTATTATATATGATTGCAATTTCATATTATTTGAGTGAAAACTAACAAATTTGATCATACCTAAATTAACCTACCTAACCTAAACTAACCAATCGTAACCCAGCATAACTGTTAGTAATTCATGTTTCAAATATAATAGATTATTGTTAGAAAATAACCAATCTAGTAAGAAATATTTCAAAATAATGAAAATCATTTAGCCTGTTAGGCACATCGGACCTTGCATACTAGGCCAAGAAGTGCGGTTTTGGCTATTAGGCACGACATTCACCACACAGACTGAGGAGACCTAACTAACCCATTAATTCAAAATACATTCAGAAGGAACGCAAATTCAAAATTCATTTGAGTGGCAACCTTTATTATCTGAAACAACTATATTTCAAAAATTCACTATAATGTGCGAAACTATGAACACCCTGTGTATGACCTATTGATATAATAGGTCATACACAGTGGTCCGTCCGTCCACAAGTGGTTAGGCACCATTCTTTTCCCCCGTCCCGTCCCAAATCCACATCCTGACACAAAGTGCTAAATAGTGGTAATGGCTGTGCGCTTTCCCGTAACAGTTCCCTTGCCTTCCTAGTCTCGTCACCGCATGCCAGCTTCAGCTGTGTCTTCTCAGTGGTGTTGTGAATGCGGGCTCCTGGCCACAACGTCCCCGTGTAGTGTACACGACTTGCACAACACTACACCCTCTGGCGCCGCGACACTTCACACTGTGCCTCAGTCGTCACACTCCTGGCCATGGGGTGGTCTTCTGGTGGTGTCGGTAGCGACCAATGCCTTGAAGTTGCTGACTTGCGTCTCATCCGAACACACAGTTCGATGATTCGACATACTGTTCGGGCATTCCTGTTTGACACAAGAGGGTTCTCCACCGAAAGACTCCGGGCCAGTTCTCGGACACCTTAAGACACGTCTGGTACATTATTGTTAAAAATCCGTCATATTTTGTCATCATAGAGTGTCCACGATCATGTACGCCTTCTCCTCCCCCCTGTCCCAAGACATGTTGAGAATTGGTGATAAAGTGTGAAAGTGCCGTAGCTCACCCTGGCAACCTTTGGTGTACCGTCTTTGACTTTTGCTCCTGTTTTAAAAAGTTATTGAGACCTGGCCCATTTGCTTCTGGGGCAGGTCTCAAGTCTCAGCAGGATATACTTGTTTCGCTCTGATGTAAACTTGTTCGCTTCCACTTGTGTGAACGGCACGATTGTCGAGGGGAAGGGGGGGGGGTGGGCATGACGTCCCCTGGACATTTGTACGAACAGTATGCAACAGGACGCTCCCGTTCATTCATTTTACCTACTTCTGTTACTGTTGCAGAAGCATCCGTCAACACGATGAATGGTGTGCCAGGGTGTGGATGTGTCACAACACTGCAGTTCACCAGTCTCCAGAATTTGAAAAGCTATCCCCCCCCTTTTTTTTTGGTCCGGTTTACAAATTTTGCTGATCTGCTAATTTTATGTAATGGCTTATTTTTTATTTAATTGGTAATTTACGCAAAATCTCTTGTCAAATGCAGGATGTAAGTAGTCAAACCCAAGAACGACTTACGGTTCTCCTTGCTTTGAGGAGCTGAGAATTCATGGATATCTTGCGTTTATCTGGCATGAAAGTTACTTTACTTTACAAAGAAACTACTTTTCGAAATTCACCTTCAATATACGGACCTTCAGTCTAAGCAACAATATTATCAAATTGTGCGTACGTTCCTCTAGTGACTTTTCCGCAACACTTGCATCATCGAGGTAAAGCAACTTTGGGACAGATCAAACTTGAAAGAACTTGCTGTAACAACCACAGGAACGTCAACCCGAAAGACG